TGCGTCGAGAGGGGGTCCCGAACGTTCGGGCGTTCGGGTTCGGGTGTTCGGCCCGTCCCGAACGCCGGCAACCCTGTATATATATATCCTCTTCTCTCTCTCTGCCTACGGTTTACCGGGCAGTTCTATTTGTGACGATATATATCACACTGTGAATATATCACACTGTGAATCAGAGCGCAGAAGCGAAAAAAAGGAAGAAGAAAAGAAGAGAAAAGAAAAAAGGGGGAGAAGAAGAGGTAAGGAAAGCTTCACCTGTTCATATATGACGAAACAGTTTGTCACAGCCCCTCGTTTGTTGTCCTCTTCTCCCTCTCTGCCTACGGTTTACCGGCCAGTTCTATTTGACGATATATATATATATCCTGATGAGTCGGTGAAACTCCGACGAAACAGTTTGTCACAGCCCCTCGTTTGTTGTCCTCTTCTCTCTCTCTGCCTACGGTTTACCGGGCAGTTCTGTTTGTGATGATATATATATATATATATATGCCGGGCAGTTCTGTTTGTGACGATATATATATAAAGAGGGCAGTCTCAAGTTTTGGTTGCACCCATCTGGATCCCCTCAGGAGTTGAACTAATGCTCTGTTTACTAACTGTTACCTGTCTGTAGCATTCAGCAACATGGGCGAGGTGCTATCGATAACTGTGTTTTTTTCTTTTCTTCGTTGTAGTGGACGGGCCATGCTAATCTTCTCTGTATCGTTCCAATTTTAACGGATGCTTCTCTGTATCGTTCCAATTTTAACGGATGCTTCTCTGTATCGTTCCAATTTTAACGGATGCTTCTCTATATCGTTCCAGGTTTAACGGATGCTTCTCTGTATCGTTCCAGTTTTAACCGATGCTTCTCTGTATCGTTCCAGGTTTAACGGATGCTCCTCTGTANCTCTGTATCGTTCCAGTTTTAACCGATGCTTCTCTGTATCGTTCCAGGTTTAACGGATGCTTCTCTGTATCGTTCCGATTTTAACGGATGCTTCTCTGTATCGTTCCAATTTTAACGGATGCTTCTCTGTATCGTTCCAAATTTAACGGATAGGTACGGAGCAGTACCAAATACTTTTATTCTGCAATTATTCTCTGATGGTTGATTAGTGTGAATCGGTTGGTAGGATTTGGTACTGCTAGTGGAAGGATTCACACACGCTGCTGAAGTACGGTCCTGGTACTGGGTTCCATTTGCTTTTGTGCGTTAGGGGCCCAAAGTACAGCTTTCCTGTAGGTAATTGTACAGGACAAAGTAGAGACCTTCTACTGGGATAAGCCCTGTAGGAACAGTAGAGGGTCCTAGAAGTTGGCAGAGGTAGGGACCAGGAATGCACATTTCGCCTGCCGTGGCCCTCCCTACCTCTACTGACTTGTAGGACCCTCTACTGTTCCTACAAATTGCACATAGGGCCAAATGTGCATTCCTGGTCCCATTGCAGCTCAATTCCCAGGGGAGGGCCACGGCAGACCAAATCTCTGTCAGCTGCGGCAGGGCCTGGTAGGAAGAGTCTGGAATCACGAGGGAGAAAGAGGCGCAGGCACAAAAGGGAGGGCAATGTCAGGAACCTCCTCTTTTCCCATTCTGGCAGATGCGGAAGCGCTGCTGCGTTGCTGGGTGCAATTGTGAACAGTGCCGGGGGAAGAGTAGTAGTCAATGGTGCTGGGCACCATAGCTGGGAGCTTGCGCAGCGAGAGAGAGAGAGAGAGAGAGAGAGAGAGAGAGAGAGAGAGAGAGAGAGAGAGAGAGAGAGAGCTGCTCATCGTTGGTGCTGGCGGCCATAGCCATGACCTTGAAGAACCTGTGTACATCATTTCAAGTTGTAATAACGGGACACTGCTTTCCTTAGGGTATGCTCACACTACCGTCTTCACCCGAAAATATCACCCGGGCGTTATATTCAACTTACCCTAAAAAGATGAGATTTTTGTTTTTACTCACTTTTTTTTTCAAATAGAACGCCCCTTCAAATAGAACGCCCGTGCGTTATATTCGAAAAGAAGGCCCAGTCGTTAGATTTGAATGTTCCATGGGCAGAGTGCCTTGAAGAGGTAGGATACATGGGGTTTAAAGGGCGGGGAAGGGGGTATGCATGGGTTTTGAAGAGGGTTGAATGGGGTTTTGAGTTCCAAGGGGATTTCAGCTTGATTTTTTGTTTTTATTTTTTATTTCCTAGTTTATAAGGAATTCTGAAGTGACCCTCAGCCAAAAGTTGGTCGCATTGCAATCCTGGACAACATTTTTTTTTTTTAGTATTTTACAGATTTTTTTTTTTTTTTGGGGGGGGGGGGGGGTGCTCAACAAAGTAATCTCAAATTTACTGAATATAACTCTCGGGTGTTATAAACGAATATAACGCCTGGCGGGCGTTATATTCGTAATTTCGTACACAATGTTCGGGCACTATTTTCGGTTGAAGACGGTAGCACACTTTCTCACATGCAACTGGCTGGAATCATGTCCAGAGCTGAGTCGAAAAAGTCGTAGTTTAGTGTCTCACACTTGGGCTTGTTTTAGAAATCGACGACCACATACCATGGCATCGATCTTGGCCGTGCGGTAGTCATGAGATCCCTGGATTATGTTGAGCAATGTATCCTTGTCTTGAAGCACCTGCGGACCCCAGATCAGCAGACAATTCAAATTAGCAGCTCACATGAAACTTCGAAAAATGTATCGGACTTGACTATGACAGAAAAAAAATTGAGAGAGGAGTAGAATACATCTTTCCAATCAGTCGCACCCCATATGACAATCAACCTTCTGCGTGTCAGCTGCTTCAAGTGAATAATCAGCAGTGCCTGGTCCTAGCCGTTTCGCCAAAATGGAGATGTTTCTGATGTTCTATTTAATGAACGACATTGAACTGTCCAGATTCAGCCCCCAAAACTACACAAAAATTGTCTCCTGAGAGTCTGGCATTTTCAGAACGTCGGATCCCCTTGGATGTATCTGGAATGCAGTCCAGGTACGTTCCACGGGTCCGGCATTAAGAAAACGCTGGGCCTTCAGGAGAGAATGTTGGACAGTTTTTGGGGCTGAATTTGGACAGTTCAATTTCGTTCAGTAAATAATAAATATCAAATCTCCATTTTGAGGAAATGGCTCTTCGGAGCAGACGTATAGATTCTATAGAATAGTGACGGGGGCTACACCTTCAGAAAAAAATAAAAAGCAGTGCCAATAATTAACAGTGGAAGCATAGAAGATGGAAACCGATAAATGTTTGTTTGTTTTTTTTTTTTTTTTTTTTTTTTTTTGGAAATTCCTGTCACAAGTCCACTATCCTGGCGCTGGTAAGAGAACCGCCGGGATTGAGGTCTTGGCACCACCGGGATTGAGGTCTTGGCTATCGGCGGGCTGCTCCATCTATTGGTGGGGAGCGGCACCTGCTGGAACCCGGGTCCATCGTCCCTTGGAAACCACTTTGCAGCACCTTATATGGGGGCTGTAGTCATTTGTCTTTCTGCCTTGGAGCGGCTTTTTCCCTTGCCCTTCCCTACGGTCTTCACCCGAATAGAACGCCCGGTCATTATAGCTGTATTTGGCACAACTTTCAGCCCAGATACGGCGATAATTGGAGCCACTTTTTCCCTTGCCCTTCCCTAGCAGAAATCTCACCGAAGTTCTGACCTAGTCCTGTTCCTGGAACTGACTACCGTCTTCACCCGAATAAAACGGCCGGTCATTAATGCTGTATGTGGTGCACCTTTTTGTCCAGATACAGCTATAAGGAGCGGGCATTATATCCGGGTGAAGAGGGTACCCGTTGTTCTAATCCTATATGATGTAATGACCCGCCAAAAACACAGACTGAGAACACTGCCGATTTCTGGGATTTGTCACTGGAATGGATGCCTTGTTGTGATTCCCGCATTCTGCTGTGGTTCCAAGGGTCCAAGTCTGTGTGTGTGCGTGCCTGCTGGTTGCATGCCTGTCTGAGTGCTTGCTGGTTGTGTGTGTGTGCGTGCATGCCTGTCTGAGTGCTTGCTGGTGGGGTATGTGTGTGTTTGACCCGCAAGGGTACTTGTTGGTTGCAAGGCCCACCGGGCCGGTACTTACCTGTGGCCGTGACTCTGGAGGGTTGCAGGGGGGTAAAACACGC